AAAAAAAAAAAAAAAAAAAAAAAGTCTTCCTTCTAGGAAGACATTTAAAAGAAATCTTTATGGCTGAAGTGAGTGAGCGTTCAAAGATGGCTCCTGGCTTTGAAGCGACGTGCACAGAGACAAACTCGCTCAGCCGTGTGGGAGCTTCTGAAGATCACATGAAGTTTGTTAGCTAAAGTCCCAGGCACTGCTAAGGTAGGATGTGATCAACATGCATGAGCAGCTCACTTTTTGCTATGCAACCAAATGACTAGTTACATGCATCACTACAGAGGCCTCTAGGGCAAACAACAAATCTCATCTATTTTTCTACAGTTATACTGGGTAGAGAGGTACATACGGGCTTTGGAGTTAAAGGGAAATTACTGTAATGGGGAAGGAGAATTGTTTTGCCATAAAGAATCTTTTGGATTAATTTATGCCTGTACAACAATGTAGGTCACAGAAATCAACTAAATTATTCTTGAAATAGTTTAGCAAATCAAGAAATTATTTCTATTTTTGGAAGAGAGTAAGCTGTGTCAATACCAACAAGAATCTCACTACATCAAAGATAACTTTAGCTTTTTATCTGATTAAGCTGCAAAGGTTTAACAGGATTAGTTTGACATGAGAAAAATAAAATTAGAGGCTACGCTTTAAAACAAAGGCTCATCCATGCACAAGAAAAAACCATGTTCTTCCAATGCCAAAACTAATTAAATATCATCCTACATTATGAAAAAAACCCCAGCCTTCCTGCATTTACTAGACTGCCTCATGAGCAGTGGAAAACCAAACCCTGGTATGTTTGCTGGATTTATAACGTCTAACTGGTGTTTGGACCAGGCTGCAAAATCTAGCCACTTATTGTGGTGTTTTTTCTGAACAGAATAGGCTAACAAAGTTATTTGCTGAGAAAAATTAAAGTGTTTCTTTTTCTTTTATGGTTTTAATATCCTAGAGACTCTAGTAAACGCATACGGAAAAAATTTGTAAATATTTCATTGCTCTTTGAAGCCAGAGTTCAACATTGCCTGGTTTGGTTTTGCTAATTTGTCCCAGGAACACTTCAGACATGCTCGCTAAATTATACTAATACCATCACCACCAGCAACTTTGTATCTTAATCTGGTTTTGGTAATGCTGCATCTTTAGGGCTCCGCACAATATCTGTCCCTAACTTAATGGAAATACTCCTGGTGATAATCAGCCGTCTCAGCTGTATGCTCCACCCTGTGGACAGGTTGTGATTTCAGATATATTTGGTATATACTTCTTCTGGACTAAGGTGTGCTGTTTCTGCCAACAGTGACACACCTAAGGCATGGGCAAAAGGAGTAAAATAAACGGTATGATGTTAACACATACTTCATTCAGGAACTTTTCTCCGTAGGACAAACAAATTAGTGCTCTTTGCTTCAGAAATAGGCGTAAGGTTCTGAATGTTTAAAAATTAAAACCTTTACATATTGTTTCAGAAAAAACTATTTTAGCAATGCACTTATGGTCATTATTAATACATTATGTTATTTGCTTTAAATCTTTGTGGAATACAGAGACTTAAGCATGTATTCAACTCTTTTCCAGAAGCAAAGTAAAGGAAGTAGAGAAGTCTGTGAACTCTTGAGACCAGCTACAGGAATACCAAATGATTGCTCAGTCATGGTAATTCTTGGCTACTAAATGGCATTATATTTAAATGCATTATAACATAGCTTGTACATTATGACAGGAGAGCGTTCATTGTCACAGGTTTGCATAGGAGCATCCTGTAAATTTGCAACACTGGGCTTTAATTACTGCTTTTGTTACCACAGCATTGAAAGACCAAAGAGATTGGTGATTCCACAGCTGTAGAAACAAAGGAACACTTCTTATTCAACTATATTAAATGTAGATAGTCAGTAAACTGGAAGACTACAGGAATACCTGTATCTGTTTTGAATTAGTAAATCCAGAGAAATATATTATTACAGGTAACACTTTAAAGTAGCACTTCATGTAACATGAACATTAATTCTGCTTAAGGGAGTCCTGCTCTTTTATGCTAGCTAAGTGATGCCTGACAAGTTGACAGCAGAATCCCTAGGCAATTACAATTAAGGAAAAACCCAAACAAATGTAAGGTCATACTCTTTCCCCATATTGTGACAAAGAGGAAATATTTTTTTAGAAATTTTAGAAATTCTAGTGTACTTAGACACACTGCTGTGTTGTGCTTGATCGCACTAGTTTTAGTTCTATGCAGTCTTGAGAGGCTGGATTCTCTCCTGCAAGAGCCACCAGAAAACATGAGATGTCTGTCTCTTGTTACTCTGCAGTTCTCAGAAATTTAAGAGATGCAGAGTGTGGCCACTAACAGGAATGACTCCTGGACAGGTTGTGTGCCTGGCAAATGAAGTCAGCAAGACTGGGGAACAACGAGGAAACACTGCCATGGAGAAGGGACCGGGACACTCCTTATGGAGAGGCAAGAATAGGAGTTGAACTGGTGGGGGGAAAAAGCTGTGGAAAGGAGGAGAAGCAGGTAGTGACTGAGTTAGAAAGCAGGAGATGATTCCTACTAGGAGCTGGGCAACTGAATCATCCATGGCATCCATGGTGCCTGGGACCACACACAGAACTTTCTTGGGGGAAAAAAAGGCAAGAACTAAGATGAGGGATGCTACAGCAAGAAAAGGCTTAGTAAGAATCAAATGGCGCATCAAAAGCATGAACGAGTAATTCAACTTCAGACATGTGAGAGAACGGTAATGATGCAAGTAATGACTGAACAAGTGAAAACCACTGTAACAGGCATGGTGTTTGTTCATGAGTTTAAGGAGTGAGACTCAAACAATAATTGTTAAGGTAGCATTTTGTTTTCTACTTAAAGCATAAAAACCATATTCTGATTCTTAGGTTTCTGAGATTCCCTTCCTGAAGTTTCATTTCCAAACAGCGAAAGCAGATGCCAGGGCTGCTGCTTCTGCTGTTTTCAGGAGTGCATTACACGCCTATAGTTTGTAATAAAAGAGGCTCTGACAGTAATCACTTCTCCAATAATTAACCATCAGCTTTAACCAAAGGACTCAAACAAACATGCACATTTTAGATCAAAACTCCCAATCTAATATTAATTTTATCAAAATCTTGAATGTCAGGATTAAGATAATGATTTTCTGATAAAACAAAAAAAAATGGTAAGCCCTCACTTTGCAAACAAAAACATTCTATGCAGATTTCAATATTCAAGAAAATTGAAATTATGAATAATGTCTCAGTATAAACCAATTTCTCCAGTATTTCAGAGGCTATTTAAGAACCACTGGCAGTTACAGAGATAGCTGAACTATTTTCTGCAGTCTGTGACTTAATGTTAGTAATTTCCTGTAAAGTATGAGCTTTGCCATTCTGAATTACAATTCTAATTCAGCAAAAAGCATTTCTAGACAGGAAAGAGAACCAAAGAATTATTTTTGTGTTTTAATTTAGCTAATCATTCATTAAGAAAATAATCCAATATATTTAGCATCATTTTAACAGACTTATTGCTGGTATAGAAGTCAGAGATCATCAATAACTGAAGAAAATGTGAGAGGATGCCAAGAGCTTGCTGCCTGATTTCAGAAAATATTTTGATCTTAATATCTAACAACAGATTGTCAATGTCCGTGCATCTCACAGAATGTATGTTAATTAATTAGACTTGATGATCAAGAGCTCTGTCTTTTCAATTATGTTTCAACAAAATGATTTGTAAAATCAGGACACTGTCATTGGCTACGACAATGACAATCCATAAAAAGGCAATCCATAAAAAGTTCAAAATACAGCATCAGAAGTTACAGACGTCAACATATATCTGTGAAATTTACTAGTTTATGATTAATAGATGGCTTAATGTATTCCAATGTTTTCCAAAAATATGGACAAATTCTTTTAAAAAATACAAGACATCTGGGATATTTTCAAAATGTGCATTTCAATCAACAATGTCTTCCTCATAAAGAAACTTCACAGAATGTTTAATATATTTTGTTATATATTTTCAAGTTATCTTTCTTAGTATATATTGTAAAAGGGAATTCTTACCAAGAATATTAACTGTGGTATTTGACTTGAAAAGGAAAATCTAATTTCAAGTACATTTCATTCTTTCTGAAGTAGTAAGTAAGGCAATATATCAATTTTATACACTTGCAGCAGTGGTATTTTTTTTGAAAAGTGCAATAAGCTTTTTATATTGACTTCTCAAAATTGTATTGTTCTTCTTTATCCTTGTAAAGTCAGATTATTTCACAAAAGACAATTCCTTAGAGAAATAGCAACAAGGACTTCCTGAATGTGCTGTCTGAAATGGAATCACATTTAAAGGTTTTCCTCAGACAAGATCAAGTCTGAGCCTTCCAGAGGGCTTCTTCATGCAGTTATAGCAAAGATTTCCAAACTGAAATATAGCAGCTGACATTGAACCAAAAAATACGTTCCAAATTGCTGTGGTTAGTAAAACAAGAGTGCCCTCTGTCGATGAGGAACCCAGGATCAACCACTTGGACACAAATATACATTTGCTTGAAACATATTAAATTAAGGATAACTGCCTCCTTCTTCCTGCAAAAATGGGTTCTGAAGGTTAACACAGGTTTGAACTGAAATGCAAAAAATTCCTCCTTAAAGACAACCCATGGACTTCTCCACTGAAATAATCAATGAAAACATAACACTGCTATGAAAAAGTGTTTTACCTCTTCATAATAACGGAGATTATTCTCAGCCACATTAGTGAACGTTGATCTCATATCATACTGCATGTTTTGCTTCCACCTGTCCCAATCTGCTTTCAGAGCATTATTGGCACATTCGACTTTGTCTTCAAGTTTCCCGATCTCTTCTGAGAACTAAATATAAATTGGAAACATTAAAAAATATTAGTAGAGTCACCATTTCAAAAGTGATTGAAATCAAGTGATTGTATTGCAGACAAACAGAACTGCAGAATCAAGGTTGGCATTTAACTTAGCACAGAAAATTATTTCCCAGGGATATATTTAGATTTTATTCTTAATTAATAAGTGGGTAAAATTTCTGAAATATTAATAACGAAAATTCTAGACCAGAATTAAAGTGTTGCTGAAGATATTTTTATTGACTGAGAAGTTACAGACTCTAGCTTCACTAGCACCTGACAGCAATGCAAATAAAAAAGAAAATATAGAGGGCTCTGCTGAAGCAGAATTGACTATACAAGTTAGATGCCAGAAAAACTGAGAAAACCCTGAGAGAACCTTTGACAACCTGAGGAGAAACCAGAACAGGGAGAAGACAGCAGAAATCAAAAGCACAAACTTCCTGATTTCTTGCCTGTCACCTTGCCATCTTTTCTTGTGGAACTAGCTTCTGTGTGACCATGTGGGGGAGAGAGAAATACAGCAGCAGAGAAAGAAATTAAACCAAAGGACTTCTGCAGAGAAGAAACTCTTTCGCAGCGATCCAGGATCAAAAACCTTGAGGGCTACTCTACAGACGTAATTTTCTTCTAATTACTGTAGATGCACAAAGTGACTTTTCAGCTAATGGGAATGAGTAAGTAGACAGAAGCCCTCTCTTTAATGAGCCTTCTAGTCCTCTCAATAATTTTGTTACCTATTATCATTTACTAATCAGCTGTGTCAGCTCTGGCTGGCACCCAGTCACAGAAGGAGGTACATCTTCTGCAGCCACAGTGCAAATTCATCTGCTGGGACTGCACGGCACCTGTCTGCAGCAGGAGGGAGGTCAGGGAGAAACACCACCACCAAAGAACATCAAGCAGGAAAAGTTAATTTCTTTGAATTGTTGCCATTGCAACCCAAGTCCCATACACCTTCCTCTTCTTCCTTGTATTCTGCTGTCAGGCAAGTTGCTGTTTCCTCATACAACACCCTGTAAAGTTGAATGGCTCCTCGTTCTCTGTTGCAGGGCTGGTGCTTTCATTGATATGAACTCCAGGATTCCAGAATTAACTTCCAGGATTTTCAAGGAACGCTTAGGCTATTGGCAGAATGCAGATATGCCAAAATTCAGAGCAGGATGTGGATAGTCCTGGTGTGCCACCTCCAGCTTGAGCGGCGCAGGGAGGACAGTGTCCCAGTGCAACAGCCGGCAGTGCTGCTGCCATCAGACAGGCACGAGGACGCAGCGCTGCCTGGAACGGGGACAGAACCTGAGCCCAGCACCTCATTCACAAGCTCCCAATTCAGTCTGACATACTAGAATCCTTCAGCTCTTGAAGTAGCCAAAAACTCCTTAGCTAGTAAAACTGAAAATTTCATCTGAATGGATCTTCTCCACATTCCACAATATACAGATGAATAAACATTTTTAGCTGGACTTGATTGCTACACTGGTTTTCCTTGCCACACTTCTAGATTAATGAAATACTATTAAGCAAGAACAAAATGCAAAATATTATTTCTACTTTACTGAAAAGCCCAAGTTCACTTATCTAGCCGGACCAGTAATCAAATTATGGACAAGGGTAATTTCAACTGCCAACACTGTATTCAATACAAAATGGTTAACCCAAAATTTTAATGTGGGGAAATTACCTGTAAAGTATTTACAGGCAGCTGGATTTGGTATTTTGGGCATGTCCCAAGTTAACTGCCTTTCCTCCAAATACCAAAAATGAATGCACACAGAATACTGAAAGCAGTGAATATTTTTAGATTATTTAAAGCAGGAAAGGCAGTTGAAAACCATTTTCTGCTTTTGCAAGAAAAAAGTCCCCATATGGGGATGAGCAAGGCTACACACGTAAAGAACTTATCTGACTTAGAAGTCCTGGCAGCAGCAGCAGCTTCCCTTTGTCTCATTCTTCATATCTTTAAGACATTTATTTTACAGTTTGTTTTTGTCTTGCCTTTTCTAGGAGCTACGAATTTCTTCCACGGTGTAGTCAAAATGTGATGTGGACAGGCAGACTGTTCTACATCCCTGCCTGGATACGCGGTTTAAACATCACCTCTAAAGCCCAAAAGAAACAGTGTGTTGTATCAAGCCAAGAGTTGGACTTAAGGCCTAAAGACAGCATTAGGCCACACTTCGTCTCAAGTAGAGAGGCTTAAGACCTACTTTTTCGCAACTGAAAAGAAACATAAATGTCACCCTTTTCAGCTGCCTCTACAGCAGAAATCAAAGAAGAATGGCTTGGTCTCAACAAAACCATCTACCCAGTCTCTTCCTCATTTACAAGGTGTAAATTGTTACAATTTATCCTGCAAATTAAATATGCTTCCGGATCTATTTTCTTACATTGATCTCACTTTGGTGTGATAAATTGAATCTCACGCAAGTGATGCCCAGAGGACAGCGTGGTGCTAATCAGAGATGGGACCACGGGACAGGAAGGTGGGAGCCAGACACTGCTGGGCAGAGCCCCGCCAGATGTGAACCAGTGCCACCTGTAGCCAAAGAGCCTTGGCTCAACAGCCAGATTACCTAGTAAGTGACACAGCAGTTTACACGATCTCACTATGCAAAATAGGATGCTATTTCTATCTGCTACATTAATTAATCCTACAGCTTGGTGATAATAACTGTTTTTAGCCTGCAGTTAAAAAATAAGCTATATTCAGAATGTGATAGATTCAGCATTTCATCTCTTTACTACTCAGTTTCAAGCCTGAACACTAGAATCCTTAAGTTAGCATTTAATGCTTATCTGGTTCTGTCAGAGCACATTACACCAATCTTTTGTCAGAGTTACTATTACCACTAGTGGCAGTACCAAAACTGTTAAAAACTCACAACCACAAAGGGATGTGCTAGCACTGCTGTGTATGCCTTCAGAATGGAGCATGGGAGCGATGGAGCCACAGACTCCAGCATCTTTACAGCCAGGGGTCTGGAGGTAAGAATGGTCTAGATAAGCAGGAGGACACCAAAGTCCTCCCAGATATCTCCGTCAGAGCCTGCATCCAACATCAGTCATCAAACCTTCCATACATGAAATAACTATCTTCTTCGTGGACTAAATGTTGGAGCAGGGGAGAAGTTTTTGGCTTTTTAGCAGCAGCACAAGGAGCTTTCTAAAAGCCCAGTGGCAGAAGCACAGCTTAAGAAAACGTTTTTTTTCCCCAGCCAATGAGCCTAAGATCTTGTAAGGTTTAATTTGCAATTCCAGCCTATTTCAGCTGCACTGACCTTGGGGATGTTTTGTATTCTCCTGCTGTATAACCTCCTGTTTGTTAAATCATTTAATGTTTGCCGTGACCAATGCTAAAGATCTCACAGCCTTTTATCGGCTCTAATGACAGTCTGAGATTCCTTATCTGTGGTGGAAATGTACTTCAAATGAGATTAGAGTTCATGCCACTCATTGTCAGCAGAATTTCTGGCTACTCGATTACACTGACAAGTTCAATCTGACACCTATGAGATCATTAGAAGCTACATGGATTCTGCTTAGGAATAGAAATGTGCAAATACAGCCAAACTCAGTGTTTGACACCAATTCCAATAACAGCACCGGTGTTATGACCACCTCTTATTTTGAAATCAGTCTGGTGAAAAATGTCAGCAAAATATTTCAATACATAAGAAAAATTAAAACATAGTAAAAAAACTGAGTAAGAAAACAGTTAAAAGTTACTTGAATGTTTAAAAATAGCAGTACACTATTCTCTGTGGCCAAACTATCATTAACAGAAAAAAACCTTCAAATTCTAATTAAGAAAAGAGTCTTCAGGATACAGCTGTCACTCAATTAGAGAACAGAGGATTTTATGATCAGATTAGACTAACAGACATCTGTTTACTGCTCTCGTGAGACTGCAAGGAAAATCAGGCTCTCAGGATTTTTTGAAGTGAGTAAGAAATAGAGGGGTTGGAAAGATAAAGCAAAGATCCAAACACCTGGGTAATCAGACTGTCCAGAGGCTTTTACCAAAACTGTAAACACAATTTTGGAAACACTAAAACAGTGAAAAAAGACCACATTGTGCAAGCTGATCTCAAATTTTACTGGAAGCAAGTACAAACATCTCATTATGGAGTAAACCATTGTCAATATCTAATCAACATGGTGTGATCAATACTGTGCTAAAGGGAAAAATATTTCTTTTTGTCTGTAACAGTTCAGGAAAAGAGAGTGCATGCACCTTGTCTGAGGACTCCATCAAATTATAAGAGAAATACATTCTGGAAAGACCACATCCTGCCAGGCAATGTTCCCTTCCCTGCAGTGGAGAGCAATAAGACTAGCTGCTAAACAAGCTGTATGAAATTGGAATTCATCACTGAATTGCTCTGTGCAAATGTAACTGTCTTGAGCAGATTGCCAACAAACCATACAAATGGGAAGTACTGATGAAAAGGGATGTTGAAATGTTGTTGGAACTAGCTGCTTACAAAGTAACTTGCGCAATGACCTGTAACACTCCTTTCTGCCAGAATAAATTCTTAGAATCATAGAATCACCGAATATCTCAAGTTGGAAGGGACCCATAAGGATCATTCTTCATATATACCGTGCTTTCAGATGCGGTGCAGCTAATGCGTGCTGCTGGCCTGGGGGGCACCCATGGTGTGGGGTGCTGGGGACACGGGCAGGCAATGGGAGGAGCAGGCTATGGCCTGTGCCCTCACAAGGCAGCGTGGGGACTCGGTGGCCTGCAGCCAGCAGAGGGGTAGGACCTGCCATCGCCACCCCAACTCCCAGCCTAGGGGCCTTCTCCAACTCACCATCCTCCGTGCATTTTCTAACAGCTTCAAACTTTATACCTAAACTAAGGACAGAGGACAGAAGAAGCAGCAGAGGAAGTAGAGAGACGAAAACAGATTAGAGAACACAAAAGCAGTGAAATGAGAGGACAATATAAGATTTAAGTCAACTGAATTTCTACTTCAGGAAAAAACAAATCCAGAGGTATGCACTTACTGTCCCACTGCAGTGCACAGAGGCAAATTGTTACAAAATATACCATAGCCATGGTAGATATAAGACAGTGATAATATATTCTTATTTATGCAGCTCGGTGACAAGAAATCAAATAAAAATATGCATTTCAAGTGCCAAAGCTATCTAAACAGCTCATCTTTACATAAAAGCTAATTACGACAACCCTAATAAAAAGTATCTGAAATGTCAAGGACTTTCTCCTTTGATGTACTAAAAAGTTACAGTGATTACTATTTAGTCATTTTTATATGTTATTTACACCGTATAACACGTTGTGTTAACACTGTACTTAAAGGACGCTATTTAGGCTGGAGAGTTAAACAATCAAAAATTTTAAAAATGCCAGTACCCATCCCAGAATTTCCTTTTAATTGGCCCACTGAGCCTCGCTGATGGGTTTGGGGATGCCTGCCCCCATGGGCTACCAGTTACAGTCTGACCTTGTAGAGTGAGTGAAGGTGTCGTAACAGAAGGAAAAGAATTATCCCTGGGGCCAACCAAATAAAACAAGAACCTGAAAGAACAGAATCCAGAACTTTTTATTTTAAATAAGTTTAATGAACAGTTTCCTGATTCTAACCACCTCCTCTCCCTCTCCTACATCAATGGAGCAGCAGCTGCAAAAGCATTGCAGCAAATCTTACTTTCCTTTAACTCCCAGTGTGGAAGTAAACACAAACACTAAAAATAAGCCACGGAACAGCCTGTGTTGACAAAACACAGTGGTCACCCACTATTACCAGTCCTTTGCTCCAGCAGCCTCTCTACTGAAGTTTTGCATCTTTCTTGTGATTGCCTTTGCCTGGCATGCAAAGCCACAGAGACCAAACATTTTCAGAATAAGTATGAGAATTATAAAGACAGCATCCAGTTACAAAGTATGGCTTCAGAGGACAAGCTTTCTTCAGGGGATCATATTTTGCACTTAGAATAAGGCCTGGAATATTTCAGCTTTCTGTACATACTCACCAGATCCTTTTCTGGTTTTTTATTGGCTAAAGCATCAATTTTGGAGTCAAGCTCGCCTTGAATTTGGTCTCTCCTTTTCAAAACACCCTTGATAGAAGATGAAAACAAAAAAGAAGTAAACCGCACCAAATTTTAGCCATCTATTCAGAAGACCATCAAACAACTCAGCTATTTAGTAAATTAAGCAAGATCACAGAATAATGCCATTTCATAGTTTTGACATGATACATGTACTTTCCTCAAAAAAAAGAAATCTTAAAATCAGGCACTGAAGACTTATTTCTCAATACCTGTATTTTATCTTAGATGTTTTTCAAGAATATGAGGAAATCCAAAATCAGTGTTGCAAGAATCTGCCATACAGTACAATTGCTATTTTATGACAAAAACCGCAACAGTAATTTACTTAGTATCAGCTCAGCTTACTATATGTTCATATTTTAAAACAGCAACACAAGTTCGCCAGATCTCATGACAGAAGTATCTTTGAGTAAAGGTTACAAAATATAGTAGGATAAATGACAAAAAATGGTATACCATGCATTATTGAAATTGTGACTTTAACCTTCGATATTATTTTGTAAGTGCCAAACGTAGCTCAGTAAAAACAGATAAAATTATCATAAAAATGATAGATGTTCTAGCATTGACATATGTGCTTATTTTCAGTATATGTAATTATTTCCTTCTTTAAAACTGTCTTACCAGGTACTGGATTTTTTAGCATAACGTCAAAAAATAATTAGAAAGGGGAAGGAATGTTACTTGTTAAACTACAAACAGGAATGGTATTACAGATTAAATTTCCATTCCCGATCCTCATTTGCTCTGTGACCTTGAGGAAGCCTTACAAATTTCTCTTTGCCTTAGTTTCCTCATCTATAAGAGCACACTCAGGTGTGCTTATCTTGCAGAAATGTTGCAAGGCTTTAGTCCTTTTAAAGAAAAAATCAAAAGCAGGACCTATATAATTACAAATCTAACAACCTTCTTTTACGTTACCTTGCCACAACTGGTTTTACTGCTTCTTCTGTATATACTAAAGAGATTTTCAGTATTCACCTCTAGCACAGGGCATGTTGAAACAGCACAGGGCACAAGCAGCTCTACCTTCTCTAGCTGTTTTATTTGACTGAGTTCTCTTTGAAATCTTGTCACTTTAATAAACAGAATAATTTAGGAGGTTAACTTAAAAATAATTTTTCAAGGTTTCTTTTTGAACAAGTATTCACTAGAAAAATTTGGTAAGACTGACTGGACAATTCTTAGGAATAGATTAGCAATACATACTAATGCTCATAAATCTATGTTTCAATAGTTCAGAATGTCTTTTGGTTAGATAAATACAGAAAATGTTTAGCTGTTAACAACAGAAGCGAAACAAATACATCTGGAACAGTTTTTTCTTTGTATTAGAAATGCTTTCTCCTTTTTAATCCTCCCTTTGCCTCTTTTAAAACTATTTTAATGACTTTGTCACGAATTTGTAACAAAAAATAGTATTTTGTTACAAATTGTGACAAAAAATGACTATTTATCACAAATCCTCCTTAAATTACAAGATAAAACAAATTCTTTTAATATTAATGTGCCACAACTATAGACAAAGTCTGACTTTTAATGGCAAACAGAGGCCCTGTGTTTTTAGAACATATCATTACACTTTTACAATTTTTTTGTATAATATTTAATAGCACCCTGCCACAAAACCCTCAAATAATTGTATGTGGGCCCATAACCAATTTATTGCTGCAATTTGTACCCTGAGGCACAGCACTACTCTGCGCTCCCCAGATTTGTTCAGTGAGTCAGTTCAGAAGAAGCCAGTCCAGATGTAAATATTTTAGCTATGAATTCATCTCTTTCCCCAGTTGAAGGCTGAGCTCCCGAGACTGGAATATACAAGGATTGTATTATATTGTATTGTATTGTATTGACCACACCTTCTGCTGCACTTCTGCGTGTGATCTTGGCAGCACAAAGGTCCCTCTGATGAGGGGTTAAACAGACCTCTGAAAGCAGGTTTTACTAGTGTGTGACTTCTATTGTATTTTCATCGTGACTAGTAGTTCCCTCTCCAAATTGCAAGACGGAAGTAAACTATAGGAAAAATAAAAATCAATGGCA